CCGCTAACATCAGAATGATACACCAGGCCCCCAAAGCTCCTAGGGCGATTTTGTAACAACGGGGACTCGGAGGAGACTCTGGAAGATGAAAGATTTGGTGAAACATCGTAATTAATTAATTAACTCCAGCAAAGGGCTCTGAGTAGGAAAGATGCTAGGCCAGGAGTAAATGTTGTTATCGGCTCTGAATCTTAGTTCCAAAATTCTCCCTGCAGCCAATCAGCGTGTTGCCAGAGGACGCCTGGGCTTGTGGTTAAAACACTGTGGATTGGGGTTTAATTCCTTGCTGGGCCAGGGCCACAGATTCCTTGTCTCACTCTGGGCAACTTCAGTCAGTCTCAGATACTGCGGTGATGAGCGTGGGATTGGAATCGAGTTGACTCTCCTGTGTCTCCCTATCTGGAGAGGGAAAATAATCCTCTCTTTAGGCTGTAAATTCTTTAGGGGAGAGACTGTTTCTGGTTATATATCTGTACATCACCTAGCACATAAAGGTCCCGATCATGGATGGCGTCTCTAAGCGCTATTGTAAAACAAAGACAAACTAATAACAATAAGAAATACCATTATCAGCTCCAGCGGCTGGTCGGTGAGATTGTAATTTAAATGGAGGATTTAAACAATAGTCTGCAAAATTATTTCAGCGGGAAATACTGGAAATCTGCAAACCTAACCTGCCTGAGAAGAGGATTTCTTCAATACCCAAATAATAACTGCACATCTAGCACCGGCAATACCAGAGTCCAGATTCAAGTAAGAATTTTTCAGACTGGGCCTCTCGCTACTCCAGTGTATTGTCCGCACAGCCTGTGGCACTAAACTCCGTCATCACTAACATTGCAGCTGTATATTGTGTTAGTAATATAATTACACCAAGAGGTTCCAACTGAAATTGGGGCCCTAATTGTGCTGCGCCCTGTACACGTTGCTAGTAAGAGACCTTCCCTTCCCCAAAGAGCTTATAAAGAAACAAGACAGACAAATGGTCGGAGGGGGAAAGGAGATGCCCAAGGTCTCAGAACCAGGATTAGAACCCACATCTCCTACCTGCTAGACCACATGGCCTCTCATGCCCAGGGAAAATGCTTTCCTCTCGCCCCCTCCTTGAAATCTTTGGCATAAAAACCCAGATCTCAATGGCGGTATGTCTCAAACTGAAGACATTCTATGTCAATACCTTGGCGTCCATCTGGAGACGGACAGGCTGAGTTTCCCCTCTTCGGCCGGAGGTTCAGTACCGTGTAACCTTCGTCATCCTCCATCTTCCCCAAACTCAGCGGAGCTGTATCTTCAAACAAACAGATCGAAATGAGAACTAAGTGCCCACAAGAGTGAAACTGACCCGCTGCAGCCTTTACGAGAAGTCCTGGCAGCTTCTCGGGACTGTGAAACCACACAGGAAATTTAGATGCACGAGTGGAAACATACGGCCCAATTCTCAGGTCCAGCTGAGTGGCGCTCTGGTGACAGAAGTACTTGGTGCTGCTGTTTTTTCATTCAGAAACATTTTTGAACAGAAAATGTCTTTTTTTCTAGATGAAAATCTTCATTAAAATGTTCATTTCTTTGAATACGTCTGCTGGTTTTTGGCCCCCTATAGCGGGGTGGTTACCTCGCTCCTATTAGGAAAGGAGGGAGAGCAGCTGAGGGAGACTGGCCACCCGCTCAGTCAGGGCATAGCGGGCGCAGATAAAAGGGCGTGAGTGAGAAGCCAGCTCAGTCTCACTCTAGCGTTGGAGTGAGAAGGGCCTGGCTGCCTGCACAGGGTACCTTCAACAGAGCGGTGCTGGGGAAGGGGCAGGCTGAGCTGGGGAGCGCGCCTGGCGACCTCCCAGGCTGAGGCCTAAGGCGGTATTGGGGCTGCAGAGGTGCAGCCCGGGGATAGGCAGAGGCAGCCGGTCCAACCCCCTTGCCAATGATGAGTGGCCATGACAGACTGCAGTTTGCCCCGGTGAGAGGGAGCTAGATGACGACTGGCAATAGTCACTGAGGCAAGGTAGGTATGGGGAGGGTGAGGTGCCCCTGGGAGGGCACCAGGGTCCAGGAGAGACATGGGGGCCCGAGGCAGGAGGGACACTGGCCAGCAGGGGGCGCTCCTGAGCTGGACGAGGTAATTCCCAGGACGACCAGCAGGGGGCGCCGCGCCGGTGAGTCTGCACCCTGTTACACCCCCAAAGAAGTGCTTTTCTGCTTTTTTCCTCTCCTTTCTCTTTCTTTTTCTTTTTGTGCGGATTTGGATAACAATGTTTAGGAGAGATCACAAGATGACCATTGGTAGCTGGGGTGAAACGTTAGCGACTTCCTTAAGGTTACTATGGTGATAAGGTGACATCAGTGTTAATGAGTATCAGAGGAACAAATAAGTTGGCTTATGAAAAATGGGTCCCCCCAAAAGTAAAGGGGTGTGGGCGTTCAAATAAGGAAAGGGAGTTGAAACCTTCATCAATATGTGTGAACCCCAGTGGGTGCCACTTAACACATTATAAAAGCTGCATGCCGTGGTGCAGGCCAGGATGTGGAAAGAGAGGGGGAGAAGGCAGGAGGATGGCCACTGGTGGTGGTGATGAGGTGAGGATGAAGATGAACACATCGGGGTTTTCCACAAGGCAGGGCGTGAGTTATGCAAATACTACGCGTGCTGTATTAGTGTGATAGAAAAGGCCTATCCAGTGACATGGTGTGACAAGGTGTTTAACCCCTCACTGGACAGGAGGGGGTCAATGAACAGCTATGGGCTAAGGAGGCCCCACCCCATACCCTTGCTGAGCATGCTCGGGTTGGAGGCGGGGTTTAAAAGCCAGCCAGGTAGCTCAGTCTGAGGCTGGCAAGCCAGGGAGGAGGACGTTCCCTGGGAGCTCAGGGAAGGACTGCAGCTGCGTCTGCATCGAGCCGACTACATCCAGCGACAGGAAGCTCTGAAGGTGACACCTCCCCCAGAGGCAGGCGGTGGCCAGGTAGGGTACGGACTGAGGTAGGAAGAGGTCCAGGGGAGCTGACTGAAGGCTGAAGCTAGACGGAGACAGGTGAACAGCTGAAGTGGTCTCACAGAGCCCTGAGTCAGAACCTGGTGGAGTGGGAGGGCCCAGGTGCCCCAACCCCACCTGAACTGAGGCCACGAGGCAGGAGACCCCTAAACCACACCCTGATCACACACATCATGATCTGCAGCTCCTAAGAGAGGAGAGGGTGTGTGACGCTTTGCATGCTCTGAATGAACAAATTACACAGCACGGCGTTTTCCAAACATCAACACAAACAATGGGGAAACACTCCCAGTTCTTCAATTAAGGGGGTGCCGTCCACCCTGGTCCATTTCCTCGCTGAAGGGTTAAAGGTTAACCTAATCCAAAGTGGAATGTCAGCATCTGTGATAGTCTGTATGTTACCCTAGAAAGAGCAACAGAGGCCTCTGGGGGAATGTACTGCCCTAGAATTTTCTTCTGTGCTGCTAACGTTGGGGCAGAAATGATATTGGACACAGCCCTAGATGTGGCAGTGCAGGAAAACCTAATGGCAATGAAACAACCGAACACACTGTACTGGAGAAAGTCCCTTCACTTGTAAAATGAGGATTATGAGCCTCCTTTTGAGCACCGTGTCTCTTTAGATTGTACATTCTTTGGCTCAAGGACAGCGTCTCGCTATACGTGCAGCCGGCTCCCAACAGAATGGGATCCCCAGCCTAATTTGACCCATTTGCTGCGCAGTCATAATATACATAGAATCGTAGGACTGGAAGGGACCTCGAGAGGTCGTCTAGTCCAGCCCCCTGCACACATACGGTATTATTGTGGCATTGTTGTTAATAGAATCTTAGCGCTCTAAGCTGCTGACCGTTAAGCAAAACATCGCTGGGGTTGGAACTTGTGTATTAGCTCATTAAGGAGACGCATGATGGCTGCCTGCATAATTATTGTTCTTCGTACTCTGCTAGAATTGAGGAGCGTAGGAATTGCCAGACTGAGTCAGACCTGAGGTTCTCCAGTCTCCCTGTCTCTGACAGTGGCCAGTACCAGCTGCCACAGGGGAAGAACCCATGTCAGTTCTCATCCTGATCTATAATAGAGTCTAGATCCCTCAGAGATAGATTAATGGCTTAAGCCCTGCAGCGGGAGAGTTAATGTCCTGTACAAAGCCAATGGTAATCCGATAACGATAACGTAATGGAGATCAATTGTTCTCCATGACCACTGAACGTAGGACAAGAAGTTCACACACAGACTCTGCCCTCGCTGAGATCCAGGGATTTGGGCCGGGTGCTGCACAGACAGAGTGAGAGGGCTATGGGGCAGGGACTGTCTCTTACTGGGTGTCTGTGCAGCGCCTGGCACACCGTGACCCTGATAGGGTTGCCAGCCGTCCACGATTGGCCTGGCGTCTCCCGGAATCAGCATTGATCTCCTGGTGACTATTGAAAGCAATGCAGGATTTTAATAGGATATTTTAAGAAAATGACATTACGTCACATGGGGGGGTGGGGGAGAATCTCCCAGGATATTTTCAGTCAGAGTTGGCAACCCTAGTCCCTGATTTCAGCTGTGGCAGGGACTGTCTCTTGCTGTGTGTCTGTGCAGCGCCCGGCACAACGGGGCCCTGATTTCAGCTGTGGCAGGGACTCTCTCTCTCTGTGTGTCTGTGCAGCGCCTGGCACAAGGGCCAACAAGAGGGGGAGGGAAGCCGGTACAAATTACCGGGGCCTGGCGGTCCGGAAGGGGGCCCAGGACCTGGCTTCCCCGGCTCTCGTCGGCCCTGTTTAGCCGGTCCACCCTTGCTGGGGGCCCCGAAAAAATTCCGGGCCCGGCTTCCCCCCCCCCCTCGTCAGCCCTGTTTAGCCGGTCCACCCTTGCTGGGGGGCCCGAAAAAATTTTTTCACCAGGGCCCGAACCCGCTCTCGGTGGCCCGGCAGCCAGCACAACGGGACCCTGGACTCAGGGCCTCTATCCCACGTCACAATATTACCAGTAAATAAATACAAAGCTGGAAAGCAACACAATGTTTTCACAAGTTTATTTCCCCATAGAAGTGACCGTGCTTTGCATCTAGCCAGGACACACAGACGGGGTCTGCAACAAGGAAAAGGCGCTGCAGCCTGTAAAGGGTTAACTGGTCACATGGCTAGTTGGGGCAGCATATTAAAGGAAGCTGGTTAAAGGGGAGCGAAGTGGGGGTGGAAGTGGAGGTTCCCTGGGAATGGGGGCAGGGAGACAGGAAGGAATCGTGAAGGGAGGTTCTGAGACTTAGCATTTGGGGGGAGGGGCTTAGCCTGGGGGGGAGGGGCTCCAGGCTGGGAGGGTTGGTCCCTACCTGCTCCCAGGCCCGTTCCAGCCTCCTTGGTCCCACTCTTGCCTCCCACCCCCCAAGCTGTGCGCCCGTTGTGCAAGGTTGCAATATTTCCATTGCAGGGGCACTAGCTCCCCGGCTTTGCCAGCCCTGGGGGGAGGGGTGTGTCCTCTTTATTCCTGGAGGGCTGGAGTGGGGAAAACCTCTGGCCATTGTGGCCCAGCGGGTGGATTTGCTTTTCTTTAGTGGACGATAAAACCATTGACAGTTGACTTCAAAGGCGCCAATGTCCACCAGCTGGTGGTCTGGCCCCCTTGTCTCCGGGGGAGCTATGGCTGAGTCACGCCAGCAGGGCTCTGGCCCCAGCTTCTGACATGACATTTATAAGTAAAGCTGAAAATACTGTAGATGTTTCAGACACTGAAGGCCTTTTCCTGTCCCGATCAGTCGTGCCGCAGCTATAGCAGGAACGCTGCTTTCTGGCAGAGCCATTTTAATTCAGTGTCGCAGACGTCAAAACCAATCCTATACCTTCTTAACAATCCACAGCCATTGTCTGCACCCTGACGTAATCCTCGGCCCCTGTGGAATGAAGCAGAAAGTCCCTGTCAGTTTGTTTCGGTTGATTAAAGAGCCGGTAGCAGCTCTTCCTCGTGGGGTGTCAGGTTGTGGTTCCTTCTTTCATCTCTGTATTTTCCCCCCCACAGCCCCATTGTAGGAAATGGGTTGGTCAGACGGGGTCCTGGAGAACCCGTGTCCATGTTACCAAACCTTAAGCAACACGACCCCATTATGCCCGTCTTGGTGCCCCCCCGGGCACACCCAGTGTAGCTCTTTGCCTAAGAAACACCAATCTGGTTCTGAAAGTGAAGTTACAGCCCTGCTGCTCGAGCCCTGACCACTTCAGTTAACAACCCAGGGCCTGTCTACACAGGAACTGGATTGGAAATAAGGATATTCGTTGTCGTTCACACCTTGCTGCAAGTCTGCCTGGTCCCAGATGTGCAGCCATCTGACATTACATTTTTTTATTGAGGACTGAGGACCCTCTTTGAATTTAGCTTAAAGCAGTAAATTACTGCTATGATTTTGAGTCCTTTCAGTTCCAGTTACCAGGCAAAGAAGCCCAAAGGAACATTATCATAATTCCTGTGTTAATTCACAAATGAGGCTGTTGCCTGCTTAGAGGTGCTTTATTAATATATCTGAAAACTCAGCGATATGGCTTATTATGAGGAGCAGGCCAAAATTTTTCCAAGGGACCATTTTCCCATTGGAAAAAGCTACTTGGACTGAATTGAAATGTCCTGTGGGAATGTATCGATTGCGTTGAGATTCTTGATATTTTGCTAAGGTTGAAATGTTTTGCTTTGTATTTTTCTTTTCATTTTGCCTCTTTTGTTTTGACTTTAATTTTACACTAGCATTAGCACCCACAATCTATATCGTAAGGCTCCAGGATTCTCTGTTTTTACACTGAAGTCTAGGATGTCTGTAGAGTCACTGTGCAGTGATGGAGACAGCTACGTGCATGGCTGGGAGCTCTTTTTGGTCAGAATGTCGCCCAGTTCAACCCTCGCTAGGGTTTGTTCGTGGCTACAGTCCAATTGTTCAGTTCTCAGTGATTATGACTTTACAAATTACACCCTGGGACAGCAAGGCATGTGTCTATGTCCTGCCAAGAGTCCTAGGCCATTGTGATAACAGAGGTGACGACGGCCAATCACCATGATTATTCTACAGCTAATTTGAATGCAACTGTGCCATTGGTTGCATGAGGGAAAGGGCACAGATGCTGGATTACTTGGCCCAATTGCCTCTGCTGTGCGACTGCTACTGGTATAATATAAAATAAGCGTTGAAAGGGTGTGGCAATTGGGCCAAGTAATCCAGCATCTCTGCCCTTTCCCTCATGCAGCCAATGGCACAGTATCTATGCAACATGCCTGGGTAGCTGGCAGGATGTAAGCCGGGCTGGAATGAATGGGAGTCTAACTTTGTGTTGAGGCTGTTTTCCTGTTTTAAATTGATCGATTAGCATCCACTAGGCATGTATTTGAATTGCTTCTGCAATGCAACATTCCGGGGTGAGGTGCAGGTATTGCACTCATGCCCTGTGTGTCTGAAAAAGCACAAGTCACTTGCGGGAGCTAAAGGACACAACTAGGTTAGTTTAAAGTCCGTAGCAGACTCCTAATACCTGTCATGCAGCCACTAGAGACACACTGTAAGCATAGTGACTGCGAGGCTTTTGTACCCTGACTGGGTACAGATTGCAAGCAAGAGCTCCCAATACCTATGGGGAGCGTTACCCCGGCACCACCTCTTAGGAAGATGCAGCAAGCTCTCTCCTCTTCGGCTGGCCAGCTCCGCCTCCTTCATTGTGGCTACAGCCATGAGGGGTGCTGGCGGGAGCAGTGGTACTCAGGAACAGGAGAGCCGTTATACCTGGCTTCTGTGCAGGGGACCACGAGGGGCGGAAGAGGAAGGTTGGTTGGTTGGTTGTTCTCTGTCCCTTCCCTTCCCTTATGCATCTGTCAAACTTTTAGTCCAAAGAGTAAGAGGTGAGTTCTGCAAATTGTGTTCACACCCACTGGGCACCCCAGAGCCTTTATTTCCCTGTGTAAAGGGGTGTTTGCACATGGAGATTGAGGAACACTCGTTAGAGAGCAGCAGAACTGCATGCACAGGTACCATTGCAGGTAAATATGGACGTGCAAATAGTGTCTTTCTGAATTTGGGCTCCCCCTGCTGGCGGCTCACCAGATTCCTGTGACGGATCCAGGCCCTGAATCCCCCACTGTGCTTTAGGCTTCCCTGGGTCTCAGCAGGCCGTGGGTGCCGACTCTGTGGGTGCTCGGGCTGGAGTAAACCCACCCTCAGTCTGCCACCAGTTCTTGGAAATGGAGCCCCTCAGCCCCCCCGCCCTAGCAACCTGCAACGAGCGTGAGTAGTTTAAACACACCCTCAGCCAGTATTGCACCAACGGTCTGAGCCTCCAGTCCCGAGTGACTGTTTAACATTCTCAGAGGACACGGGGCAGTTGTAGGGTTGCCAAGTCTCCCGAACTGGATGCCATTTTGTGGCAACTGTGTCCCAATTTGCGTCAATGGCGTCCGGTCCGGGAGAGTTGGCAACCCTAGGAAGTTGTGAAGTGTGAAATGCACAGACAGGCTTGGCACAGAATTCGAACGGCACTAGTGCCCTCTGCTTCAGACAAAGCACAAGCGAGAACAGATCATTTAGAAAACAACCAGCACGCCATGCCCTTCACTAGCGCCCCCTTCCCTTGGGAATCCTTGCGGGGTCTGTGCTATGGAAGGCCGGGGGTCCCTCTGCCCCATCAGACTCCTACGTGCAGCTGCGCTCAGCTTCAGCTGATAGAAATCATAGACCTGTACAGCTCGAAGAGACTTTGAGAGCACGCGCGCACACACACACACACACACACACACACCCTGTGCTGAGTCAAGCAAGAGCAAGCACACAGAATGGCTGATGAGAATGAGAGGTCAGCTCCTGTCCTTTCATAACCTTCCAGACCCTTATAAGCTTAACATGTAAGAATGTGATTCCAACCCCTCCCCAACAGGTGACCTCATTGCTGGGCAACCTCTCCTCTGCTGAACTAGTTCCTCTGGGCAGGGACCAGCCTCTTGTCTAGAGCAAGTATATTTCAGTGGTCAGGCACTTAAGTGATTGACCCTCTTTTGCTAGTCCTCTGCCACCGCCCCCAGCCCGTAATGCCTTGGATTTCCTGTTCAACCTGGAGGCAAACACACAAAAAGACGACAACTAGCTCTCCCCCCCACTTAAAAAAAAATGCAGTTTGCAACTTGGTAAAGATGCCGGGAACGTGCATAATCTTGCTCAAAGTCCTAAATTGGACAGACGGATTCCACAAAGCATCACCGGGGCAAGGCTTAAGTAAGCTGTGGTTTGAGGAGTAGGCATCTAAAGCAGGCTTAGATTATCCCGACAGCCGAGTGACACGTGAAATCCGTTCCAGTGACCTACGTTGTGTCTCTCACCTGCTACGAGTCCCAGAGGAGCTGGTGTGGGACATTCTGCATGGTCTGAACCAGCAAATTACATGGCAGGGCATTTTCTAAGCATGAAATAGTAAAACTCAGGAGCCACTCACAGTTCTTCGTGGAAAGAGGCACCGTCCAGCCAGGTCCACTTCCCTTGTGTAGAGTTAAATGTTAATCCAATCCAAACAGCATGGTCAGCTGGTAGGACAGGCTGCAGGGAATTCTGCAATAGAAGCAGCTGGGTGAATGTATTGCTCTAGAAGTCTTTTATGTCTGCCCCAGGTTAGCAGCACATGGAATTAGACAGACCCCGAGATGCTGGAATTAGAAAAACCTAACGGCAATAAACCAGCACAACATGCTGTGCTGGACAAAGTCACTCGACTTCTCTGGGCCTCAGTTTCCCCTTTCTGAAATGGAGATAATGAGCCCATATTTGACCGTCTGGTCTATTTGGATTGTAAACACTTTGGCTCAAGGACCCTGTCTCCCGACGGGCAAAGCCAGTTCCCCACAGAATGAGGCCCCCATCCTCCCTGGGCCCACTAGTTGTGCTCCCTGAATGGAAATAGATAATGATGATGACATTATTATTATTCATAATAGATCTAGATTCATAATATATCTCTCTGAGCTGCTGACCTGTAAACAAAATGTCTGTAACTCACTGCTGGGGTTGGAACCACATTCTTACCAGTTACCGTTTCATGGAGGTGCCCGGCAGGTCCTTAGATAATTATTGTTATTTGTGCTCTGGTAGAATTTAGGAAGAGGGGAATTACCAGATGGGATCAGACCCAGGGTCCATCTAGCCCAGTGCCCTGTCTCCCACAATGGCCGGCACTGGCTGTTTCAGAGGAAGGCGTAAGTCCCCCGCAGCAGCAGACGCAGGACGATCTCACCCCACCCTGGTTCCCATCCTGATCTCTAGTAGATCGATTCTAGGTCTCTAACAGATCAATGGCTTCAGCCCTGCAGCGGGAGGTTTACTGTCCTGTACAAAGCTCTTCCAGCATTAACTGAGATCTCTGGATATTTATTATCCACATTAGCTTCCAATCTCTTTTTGACTTTTATTTTTGAGCCCCAATCAATTGCCTGGGCCCCACTGTGCTAGGTCATGGAGTGGTTCTTGAAGTGTGGGTCAGGCGGGACCCCAAAGTGGGTTGCGACCCCATTTTAATGACTTGCTGTGGCCTGAGGGCTTCAGCCTGGGGCAGCGGTGCTCAGGCTCTGGCCCTCGTATCTGCCCAGGGCGGAGGGACTTGGGCTCCAACTCCATCCCCACTCCCCCGCCCAGGGGCATGTAGTAATTTTTGTTGTCAGAAGGGGGTCGCGGTGCAATGAAGTTTGAGAATTGCTGTATAGAGACACGTAACAAAGAGAACAGAGACGTGATGAACGGCTCTCTCTGTGCCCCGACATAAAATGTACGTTACCATCTGTTCCCGATCCTGGATCACGAGCATTTGAGATCCCTTCCTTGAACAGTCGTCATGGCTCTTGCTCCAGGTGTCAGGCTTGCTCGAAAGCCAGTAGCACTTGTCCCCGTGCAGCACCCAGTCCCTGGGGCAGAGTTTGCACCCGGAGCCACCTGCAGGGGGCAGTGGGAAGAGGTGGAGATCATTAATGCTTCTGAAGTTACTGAACACTGGGGAATTCTTTTGCTGCAGTTAACCGCGGAGTCAGACAAACCTCCCAGAGCTGGTCCCTGCAGCCGTTCCTGTGGGCTGACCTGTTGCTGCTGGATGGGATGGAGGAAGTGCGGGGAAGCCGCCTCCCCTTGAATAGGCCAGTGTAACACCCTGACATGGGTCTTCGAGAGGAACTGAACCCCAGCCCTTCAGCACCAGGAGCACACGCTACTTGAGCTAAAGTAGGTCTGGAAGTACTGGGGGGACTCTGGACCCCACACTCTTAGGGTGCCGGTAGTGCACCCCATGTATCGCATCTCGGAGGCAAGCACTGTAGGTGCTTCAGCTGTCTGGCCATGTAGGGGGTAGCCCGGGTGGGTGCCAATAACCACTCAGGCACATGGCTCAGGGAAAGGGTTTCTGACTAGGGCTGGCAGGAAGGGGAGAGGTTGCAGATCACCTCGGTGCAGAGGTTTAAACAGTTACAGTCATAGGCGCTGACCCCCTGAGCAGGGCTGCAGCAGCTACCCTCCCCTGCAGCTAACCCCGCTGGGGGAGCCTGCCCCAGCTCACCTCCGCTCCGCCCGGCAACACTCTAATTCTTCTCCCCTCCCAGGCTTGCGGCGCCGATTGGAGGAGACTTAGAGCGGGGGCTGTGTGCTCAGCGGAGGAGGCAGACTGGAGGTGATCTGGGGCGGGGAGCGGTTCCCCTGTGCATCCCCCCTGTTACTGAGGGCGGCCCTCCCTGTGCCCCCCCGCCCCAGCTCACCTCCACTCCACCTCCTCACCTGAGCGGGCTTTTAGCCCTCAACCACTCGGCGCCCTAGGCAGCCGCCTAGTTCACCTAGTGGTTGCACCGGCCCTGCCCCTGAGGGCTACAGGGCAAAAGCAGCCACAACTGTCTGAGGAGCTCGGGGGAGGGAGCATAGCGGGGGTGGGAAGAGGTGGAGTGTAGGTGGGGCCGTAGGGGAAGGGGAGGAGTGGAGTCGGAAGAGGTGGAGTGGGGGCAGGGTGTCAGGGAAAGTTGTGGAGGAGGGGCAGCAAGAGGTGGAGTGGGGGCGGGGCCTCGGGGCAGAGCCTGGAGTGGCACATCCACCCGGAAAAATGAGAGTCAGTGTAACACTGACACACCCCAGTTGTCGGCGGGCGGGATCGAACCAGGGACCTCTGAAGCTTAGTGCATGAGCCTCTACTGCATGAGCTAAAAGCCAGGGGGGCTCTCAGTAAGGCTGTCAAGCAGACTCATTTGATCTCTTTCTCTTGCTCTAAGTGGTCTCGGTGCCACTCGCTGGGACAGAACACCACACCCAGGAGGTGTCTGGGTTACATCAGCACCTGTGGTTACAGTTCAAAGGGAGCAATAGCGGATCCTGGTTGGGTCCCTGGGGCCGTCCGGTTCAGAGTCAGGGTCTTCATCCCCAGTGCCTGGGCTGTCCGCTCCGCTCCAGTCTCTACTCCAGCAAACAAGTGTTTGTGGGTTCCCAAGCCACTCTCAGTTAGTGTCTCTCACTGAGACCCCTTTGCACCAGTTCCCTGCCCAGCCCGCGGCTCCCCCCGTAAGCCCCACACAAACCTCCCCCCATCCGGCCATCACAACTTGTTCCACATGTGGCTCAGCCTGCGGTTCATGGGGCTTCTCTCCTGCTACCACGTGGCTCCCCCTTTTCACACAGAACCTGGCCACTTCCTGGGTCAGACCCTTTCCCCTTCCCTGGGCAGGGGTAGGAGCAGTGCATTATGAGGGATGATATATAGTCCCTGCTTGGCCAAGAGGAAGGGGACATACAGAGGTGAAAGGGCTGATGGGAGTTGTAGTCCCCAGCTTTGCAGCTCCATCACACTGCCCTCCCCTGGTAGCAGGAGTTGACTCTTTTATGGACCAACCCCTAGAGACCTTGTCATAACAACAGGCACAAAACCTGCAGCCACATCTCCACTGCTAGGGTGATCAACACCCACACAGCTCACTTGTCAAGATCCAGGAGTCCTGCCCAGGCCTATCACAACATGTGCTGTGTCTCCTCCAGTGCACTACACGCCCCGTTCAAAAGAATGGGTGAAACCACACAATCACTACGCTCTCGAATGCACTCACACAGGAAAGTGATAAAAGACAAAAACACCACATCACCTATCGGCGAACGCTTTTCACCGAGCGAGCGCTCTGTATCTGCCCTCTCTGTCCTCGTCCTCAAAGGAAACCTGCACGACACCTTCAAAAGACGAGCCTGGGAGCTTACATTCAAAACCTGGCTCGATACCAAAAATCATGGTCTTAATAAAGACACTGGATTTATGGTTTATTACAAGCAGCTGTAACTCTTTTTTGTCCTGTGACTGCAGAGGTGTGAACCAACCACTTCACCTTGAACGGCATCTTACAATATGTGTTTACTTGTGCTAAACAATCTGTTCTGCCTGGCATTTAGCTGTGACACTCTGGGGAGGTCTACACTGCAATAAAACACCCATGGCTGACCCAGGCCGGCTGACTTGAGCCCGGATGTCCACACCGTAATTTTATAGCCCCACAGCCTGAGCCGCGCGAGCTCAAGTCAGCTAACATGGGCCAGCCCCGGGTGTTTTATTGCACTGTCGACATACTCCCAAGAGCACTTTCCCAGCCCTGAGGAAGAGCTCGGTGTAGCCCAAAAGCTTGTCTCCTTCACCAACAGAAGTTGGTCTAATAAAAGATATCACCTCGCCCACCTTGTCTCTCCAGCCACCAGACAGACGCGCATAGTTTACATTGAACTATTGAGTTATGCCGGCATGGTGGATGTAGATGGGAGGGGAAAACATCCCCCCGCAGCACAGCTGTGAATGGACCAGACAGCAGTCCCTTAGATCCAGGTGTGAAGTGCGTCACACGGAACTGAGGTTACCTGCTGAGTTTATCTCGGCCGGATCACACAGACTCTGCTTCAGACGAGAAAATAAGTCCTCCAGGCTGGCATTGCGTTCTCCACCACTTCCGGTTCTCTGAGTGACACCGTCGCTCTTCAAGGCTGATCTTTCCTCCGTTTTATTTGAGAAGCCCTGGAAAACTTCAGAACAGCGTTGGTGGGAAGGATTGTTACTGCTTACAAACTGTCTCACATCCCACCAGCGGATTACCCTGATGGGCTGCGTATGGCCCGTGGGCTGCAGGTTGCCCACCACTGGTCCACGCTGTGGTGCACAGCTACATGTGTCAGGGAACGGTTCTGGCCGGGGGAGGCGGTGGGGTGAGGCTCGGTAACAGGGAATTGCCAGAGACTTTCCCCACTACTGGAGTCTTTCCCTGCAACGGGAAAGGCTCCACAGCAGGGAGCTGCCGGAGCCTTTCACCGCTGACTTCCCCTTGCCAGAGTCTTTCCCCACATCTGAACCTTCCCCTTTGGTGGGGAAAGACTCTGGCAGTGGGACACTACACTGTAAAACAGAAGTATAGCTGGGAGAGACACTGCTTGGGCGAGTAGAGAGCTGTGTAGGGTGCATAGCTGAGTGCGTATCCACAGGGTTCAGTGTATCTTAACTCTGTTCCCCTAAGCAGGGCCTCACCATTTACACTGCCATTTATACCCAAGTTGGGGGGGCATGTAGTGTATGTGCTCTGCACACTGCCAAAAAGAGTGTGCAGTGTAGATGGACCTTCAGAGGTGGACTGCACCATGGGAAACTTTGAGAATCCCCGGTCGATGAATAGGAAATAGCTAAGCTGAATTCCTAAGGCATAAGAAACGTCACCACCTGCGTATTGACAAAACAGACGGGATCCTTACCCAGGATAGTCAGAATGATCACAGCTAATGTCAGAATGATGCAAACAGCCCCCAAAATCCCTAGCATGAGTTTACAGCGCTGGGAACTCAAAGGAGAATCTGTAAAACATGCAAAGTTTGGTGAGACGCCTTCAACCTTTGCTTTTTGCCTTTTAAAATATCTTTGCCTTTTAAAATACGGTCTGACATGATGTCATTAGGCATTGTTAGATAATATCCATAATCCAATACAAACTGAACTTTCTCATCCAACCCTACCTGCAGTAATTTACAGCACAGTTGCACAGCCAGTCTTGACTTGATTTTTTTTTAAGCCTCAATGAAATCTACTAAAGTCAAGTGAAGAAAATGCTGCAGCAATTTTTCAAGTTATGGGTGAAGATTTTCAAAAGTGACAAGTGATTCCGGGTGCTCAAATTTAGAGACCTTAAAAGGGCCTGATTTTCAGCAAGCACTGAGCTCCCGCCCGCTGAACCCTCTGCAGCTTATCAAGATCCTTCTTGAATTGTAGATATCGGAACTGGACACAGTATTCTAGCAGCAGTCACATCAATGCCACATACAGAGATAAAAAACCCTCTCTGCTCCTACTCAATATTCTCCTGTAATGTTCGGTTGCAGCCCCACACTGGGAGTTCACATTCAGCTGGTCAGGAATTTGTCAACAAAACTGTTTTTGTTGGAAAATGCCGATTCATCAAAACTTCTCATGGAAGTGTATCAGTTCCAGCAAAGTTTGCTCAGGTTCCGGGGTGGTTATTGCATCCCATGGGATGTAGGGGAGCCAGGCTCACGTCCCTGCTATATCCAAGGATCTTAGTTTTTGTTCTGCTGCAGAATTAAAACAAATGTCGAGACAGCTACATTTTTCAAAAAATGGAATTCCTGTTGTCCAGCCAGCCCTAAAAATAAGATTTTCAAAAGTGACAAGTGATTCTAGGTGCTCAAATGTAGACCTTTGAAAATCAGAGCCTATGGGAATTGAATGTCCAAATCCCATTGATTTTGATTTGATTTGGGTGTCCAAATCTCTTAGGCAGCATTGAAAATCTCAACCTTCAAGTGCAAATATCCATTTCTGAACAGGAACAGGGAATGTCTGGTCACGGGGTCAAAGAAAAGCCTGTCTGACACACATCAGAATAATGGCGCTCTGCACTTGTGCTCTTCACTCATTCTCGCCCTGCGACATGCTCATGAAGCAAAACTTTCTAACGTCCATACCTTGGATCCTCCCTGGTGACGGGCGGGTGGTGGTTTTCTCCTGACGTCGGAGGTTTAATACCATGTAACCTTCTTCATCCTGCATCTTCCAGGCTTGCCCAGAAAACGATGAGAAGAGAAGAAACAAATGACCCTCCACAGACTCACCCTGGCTGACTGAGGGCTCAAGGCTGCAGAGGAAGCGCTGGCCCCACCTCAAGCTGTCAAACAACAGGGTCGACTCAGATGCAAAAGGCCGGCCAACCTGCTAGCGAGCTGCAGGGTCTGGCACTGTGAAAGGGCAAGAGGATTAGAGCCTGGGTCAGAACATAACGCTCAGTGGAGGAGCATGTAAAGGGAGCAATCACAGGGCAAAACTGAACCTCCTGCCCTGAAATAAGTCACAGGGAAGTTGCAAGCTGCAGGCAGAACTGAGAGCAGACAAGGCACTGGGGGGGCTATTCTTGTGTCTGTCCCCATGCCCTGCTGCGCCTCTCAGCGATAAGAAACACATCTCTAAACATGCAATAAACGACGTCACGGGCCCAGTCCCCTGGTGGTGGAAATTGGTATAGCTCTTCTGAAGTCAACGAAGCTTCACTGATTCACACCAGCTGGGATCTGGCCCCATTGAGTCCAATGGAGCTATGGCCCATTGACAACAGCTGGGGATCTGGCTCCCCAAAAATGTTGGTTAGAAAACACAGTGATGAACGTGATGGTCTTAGACCCAGATCTTGCAAACACGGAAGCATTTGCTTAGCACAGGTGAGTTGTTTGCTGTGACTGCTTGGACTGTGAGCTCTTCGGGGCTGTCTTCTACTGATGTTTCTTTGGACAGCATCCAGCACAATGGAGGGGAGGGATAGCTCAGTGGTTTGAGCATTGGCCTGCTAAACCCAGGGTTGTGAGCTCAATCCTTGAGGGGGCCACTTAGGGATCTGGGGCAAAATCAGTACTTAGTCCTGCTAGTGAAGGCAGGGGGCTGGACTCAATGACCTTTCAAGGTCCCTTCCAGTTCTAGGAGATGGGATATCTCCATTAATTTAAAAATTTATATTATGATTGGGCCTTGGGCCTGGTATTATGGGCCTGGTATAACTGTGCTGCTATAATGCAAATAAAACAGAGCCAAATGGGAGTCAGTAGGGCTAGTTCTGTGTGTAATGTTAGCCACGTGCATAAACGTTTGCAGGACTGGGGCCTCTTAAGGAACGTTGCATTTGCTGCAATTGCGCAGTGGATATGAAAAGATCAGTACGATTCCCAGACATGACCTATCGTGCCAAAGTTCATTTTGGGGTTTGGATGGGGAAGACTTTGCTAAATGTCTGATCTATCTTTTCTTTGGTGTATTAGTTACCTCACCGCTGGCTACGTGTATTGGGTGAGATTTTTCAAAGTTGCCTAGAGTGGGTTTGAATATTGCAACCATAATGTTCAGATACTGCTTCCATGCAGGGCTGTATCTGGGGCGAGCAGGGCGGCCACCCAGGGCACAAAGCTGCAAGGATGGAAAATTGGGGTGGAAAAATGGAAGGGGGCGCAAATATGCTTGCTCGCCCTGGGTGCTAAAATGTTACAGCTCTGCTTCTGTGTTGGTCAGGACTGAGGGGCACCGGCAGAGCTGTGTGTGCAAGAGAAGCCCAGGGCTGGGGTAGCAGGAGACTGTGGGTTACAATGGAGGGGCACACTGACAGAGCTGGGCCCTTGAAATCAAGGAATTGAATGGTTAAGGACTCTGCCAATCCTAGCTTCCCCACATGACAGATGTTGCTGTTACACAGTACAGAGAAATGCATATTGCATCACGACACCCTTAACTCTGACCCCTGGATTTGCATTTTTCCCCCATGGATTTTGGTGATCTCTTTTTCGGTATCTTGTATTCATTCCAATTTAAAGGAAAATATAAAAACTTGGCTAGACGGGCTCTAGGGTCCCTGCTCCAGAGAGCTGACAATCTAAGAGACCTCAGCTAGATACAGATCGCCGGGGGAGCACAAGGAAGCAGTGACACAATAGTGGTCAGCATGCTCGGCCGTGGTCGCAGCACAACAGCAGACCGACCATTGTTAAGTTTGCTGCGGGTATCGCGGCACAAGAGAGTTTGGAGGAGAGACTTGAAGGTGGATAATAAGTTCGTTTTGCAGATTTTTACAGGGAGCTCTTCTAGGGCTTCGTTTTTTAAAAGAAGAGGGGCTGGGTGCTGAAGCAGCTTGTTAGGCAAAAAGATTCTTTTCCCCAAGAATCAGGCAAGCACAGACAGTCCTGAAGGGGGGTTATTCACGGTACCCGGAAGACTGACAAGCAGCTTCAAAAACATGATGCCATAGTGGCCAGTTATATAATTCTCTTACAAATTTATTTGCATTTATTTGTACATACAGAGACAGACATTGTTACAAGTCAAGAGAGAACCCTGAACAAAGATATAAAAATAAGAACAGTACATACATATAGAGGTCATTCTAATTGCATTAAAAGTCTATGGCTACCTTGCGGGGGAAGGAGGCAAGGTGGGGCGGGGGGGTAGGGATGAGTGCTTGCAGATATCCAGTGGGCTGTGAAGGGAGGGTTTAGTCTGTTCTAAGACCTGAGTTACTGGACGGGCATTGACCATATAAGCTTATCAATTGTTTACAGTTGTCAGTGCCTTTTGAGCCACTGAAATATTCCCGCTTGTTTTGTGGTTTTTGTTTTCGCTGTTAGTGTCTGTCAATACCCAATAATTTAGCTCTGTCCTTGCTTCTCAGCCGCTTCTGTCTCTTCTGCTGGCTAAATTTTAACTTCTTCCTGACAGTAGGAATTGCCAGACTGGGTCAGACCTGAGGTTCTCCAGTCTCCCTGTCTCTGACAGTGGCCAGTACCAGCTGCCACAGGGGAAGAACCCATGTCAGTTCTCATCCTGATCTATAATAGAGTCTAGATCCCTCAGAGATAGATTAATGGCTTAAGCCCTGCAGCGGGAGAGTTAATGTCCTGTACAAAGCCCATGGTAATCCGATGACGATAACATAATGGAGATCAATTGTTCTCCATGACCACTGAACGTAGGACAAGAAGTTCACACACAGACTCTGCTGTCGCTGAGATCCAGGATTTGGTGCTGGGCGCCGCACAGAGACAGAGGGAGTCCCTGCCCACAAGAGTTCACGTTCAGAGGCAGCACAGTCAGCTGGTGGCAGATCCTCTCCGCCGGCCACCTCCGGCCTGTTCTTACAAAAGGAATTTCTACACCCGTTGAGATCCCCGAAGCTCCGAAACCTGCCAACAGATCCAGCTAATTTCCACTGCCATATAATCCTCCTCCTGTGCTGTTTCCCCATCTCACTTACCCACCTTCGGCTACCGCTACCCCCTGAAATATACACAGCCACTCCAAGGGCAAACGACAGGGAGATTTATTGTCCCCTAAATGAAGATTGGGAGCGCATCATCTCCTAGTCACTTGTAACTGTGACCTTTGTGTCTGTTTGCAAATTTTGTTAATGCCGACCCCATGCTTTTAAAAGTAACCAATCAGGCCCCGCAAAATCACAAGGTTATTGTAAAAAAAAATCTTGCCTTTTTTTTTTTTTTGAAAAACAAACAAAAAAAATCATGGATTATTTTTCTGATTTCTGAACCTCTAGGGGTCAGATTTTTAAGATTTACTCCATAACTGTGAAAGGTAAAAACTTACTGTTTATTTTAAAAAAAATGATTTTGGGGGTATCAGCGAGGTTCCCATTGCACCCCACTTTCACTTTTGGCTTATTGAATCTGGCATTTTATTTCTCATTTAAATTATCTAGTCATTTTATTATTGAGGTTGAGATCTTGCAAACAGTTAATCACACACTTAGTGATAAGCATGTGTGTAGCTGTTTGCATGGTCTGAATCTTGAACTGTAAACTCTATGGGGCAGGGACTGTCTCTTACTGGGTGTCTGTGCAGCGCCTGGCACACCGGGACCCTGATAGGGTTGCTAACCGTCCAGAATTGGCCTGGAGTCTCCCAGAATCAGCATTTATCTCCTGGTGACTATTGAAAGCAATGCCGGAGATTTTAATGTGATGTCATTTTCTTAAAATATCCTGTCATGTTGGGGGGAAAAATCTCCCGGAATATCTTCAGTCAGAGTTGGCAATCCTAGGTTCCCTGATC